AACATTATTCAACAAGTGTCAGCTGAACAGTTTATGCCGATGATACCGGGAGAATGATTCACCTATAACTATTTGGTACTTCCTCCATCTCGATATTAAGACATTCCGCTCAACAAACAGGGCTGCAGCGTGCGTCCGTTCACAGTTCCTTCTCATCCACGGGCCTGGTGACCAAGCATGCATGTCTTCTGAGAAGCCGCATAAGGCACCGTGCAAGGCTGCTCAGTACAAACAGGCCATTGTTCACATTCCCCCACTGTGGAGCCGGGAGCATGTGAACGACGCATGACTGCAGTAAAGAAGCCTGGCGACGGCGGCCATATGGCCTCGTTCAGTGGTACGGGCCTGAGAGAGCCGTCAGTCCACGGCGGTGCGATACCTTATACCTACCGCGTGTGGAAGCAGGGTGTCTAAAGGCTCCCCTGTGCCAGAGCTGCAGAAAGGGCTTATTGTTTCCACACATCTTGGCATGGTTGGACTCGGGCTAATTTCACCTTAAAGCCACATTAGCCATCTGAAGTCTGTGTTGTTAAAGCCGCCCCGAGTTTACCCAGCAGCACGGACTGAGCGGGGTTAGCCTAAACAAATCCGCCTGCCTGTCTCCTCTCGCTGTGGCTAACGAGCTCCAGGTGGGCGCGTCCGTTTCCACGGCCACGCTTACGGCGTCAAGCTCTCCGCGGAGCTGGCGGCCGAGTGGGCTATGAGCGGCGCCCTGACGAAACGCATCATCGGGCCTTCAGATCTCTGGAGAAGATAGGGATGTGCTGTAAGCTAGTGGCACGCTAAGAGAGCACCGGCTGGATAGAAATAAAGTACAGACACACACAGCAGCCTCTATGAGCTCTCACCGTGCTGTCGCTCACATCTGAAAGAAGGAAAGATGAACTCCAAAGCCTGTCACAGAAAGCAGGCCTCATGTACAATGATGGAAAACATATTTTGGGAGAATGCGAGTGAGACAATCAACAACTTGTCTGCAAAATAAGCACTTTCTCACTTCAAATCGAAGCTGAAAATAAACCCAGGAAACCCAGTGTAGGATTTCATAATCATTTCCTATTGGTTATAACCATGCATAATAGTGATGATACACAGGGCAATGCTGCCGGGCAACTGCCAGTTTAAAGAAAGAACTTACGCACGACATAGTGTTAAGCAGGCTTTGGGAAACTCACCCCAGGTGAGAGAAAGGGCAACTCATCTGGAGCTGAATGATTGTAAAAAATTGCCCAGTGTTGATCAAAAGTTGATGAAAAGTTTTCAAATTGAATTTTTTTTGCCCAGTACCAACGGGAAAGTGCCCAAGCAACATTCATCAGCAGCATTGCCCAAAACGCTGCCCAGCGTATCATCATCCAAAAACTTCACAAAATCACCCGCCGCCCAGTAAACGACCCAGGATTTGTGTAGAAATCAGTGGAAAGATCTACAAACATGTCATGAAGAACGGTGATGGAGTGCAGCCGGCCAGGGGACAGACACCTCCTGAAGGGGTTAGGCTTAGGGTTAGGGTTAGGGTTAGGCTTAGGGTTAGGGTTAGGGTTAGGGTTAGGCTTAGGGTTAGGGTTAGGTCAGCAGTGCCCTCCGGCAATAAAGCACCATCATGCTGCAAACTGGAAATAGCGCTAATCGAAATTTTTCCAGTACATAATATTTCTGTTAAACTCAAACACAAGCAGTAGCGCACTGTTTCATTATGGGGTTTGAATCTTGATGGTTCAAGTCCTAGAATAGTTCCTACTGTTGCACAAAACCAATTGCTCCAGTAATTATCAACTAGTTTTAGATTCAAGGATCTAAATTGTAATGTAAATATACTTATTACTGCTTTTGATGCTGTCTATTCATGAGCATCACAAAGTAGTGCGTACATTTGTTAATATGAACTATCGTATTTCATTTTTATTATAAGCTTATCCAGTCCTTTCATAAATACAAGTTCTCCGTAAGTCAAACGTTCTTAACCCAGAGGATGGGGAACAATAAAGACTTGAACGTGAGCGCTAATTGGTGCCACAGTTGGCTACTGACATTTGGCAGAGTCCGCGAATCAAATTTGTATCATGGAAGGATGGTCTAGGACCAATGAACCAGACAGAGCTCCAATGCAAGTACGTAATTTGAATAACAGCTGCTCATCCATCGTGTATGAAAAAACACATAAAAGGGCCAAGAAAGAGATTTATGTATAAAATGGGTACCTGATGTGAATCAACATCTAAGAGATTAACCTGGCAAGAAATATCACACAGATCCCAGTTAGAGCTTGAGCTAGAGTGATACAATAGTTCAGCATTTACAGAACTGGATTATACAAAAAAAATAGTTTTTTGCTGATTAGTCAATTACTCTAAAAAGTAATCGCTGCTAGTCTTAACATTCACACACACATAGTGAGCATTCTGATGAAACTACTTAGCCACTTATTATTAACACTATGGATGGACAACAATAGTTAAAGGAATGGCAACATGGAACCACCAAAGGCAACACCCAAAATCAGGGCAGCCTGTGCCTGGCGTTTGTTACAATTTACACTCCGTGTTCTAATGAAACGATGGTGTCATAAAAGCTATGAGACACCAGTGTCACTCCCCCAACTATCTTAGACCTGACTGTGTCCCCCAAAGATGCACACCAAACGGCATGGCCCCAGCATTTCTGCTTCTGAAAAAATCCTCTAAAAAACAGCAGCACATGTGCAGGATACCTCTCGACATTTTCCATGCATGACATAATGCCGTTTTCATTGAGGAGAAAATGTACAGTAGGTGTCATGGTCCATTAGTGGTGATGAAGAGAGTGAGTCACCGTCCTCCGCCAGCATCATGTCGGCCGCAGGGTTTCGCTGTTTGCAAAGGCCTGTCTGATGGTGCCTCTTACACTGGCCGGATAAGAGTGTCACTAACTGTAGCATAAGCAGGAAGAAAGGGGCTGTTCAGTTTCGGGAAGCGTGGCCTGCTGGCAATCGTCAACACAATAGGAGTCAAATATCGAAAAGTCCAATTGAAAAATCTGAAGTCAAAATCAGCTTGCTGTATGTAATTAAGGTATAAAAATAGAATTTTATAGACTGTTCTATAAAAATCTGAAATACTGCATTCAGTAGCATCATTTTTGTTCTGGAGACCATATCAGTCTAACACAAGATTTGTCAATGAAGAGATTAATAATGTGCACAAATTAAACAAAGCAAACAGATAGATTCACAGACTTCTTTCCCCCTCCCCCACACTGGAATCTGTCAGTCATTTTGCATTTGAGCCCCCCCATACTCACTAACAATCCCTTTACATATTTATCAGTTTGTATATACCTGATTGATTGCAATTTTGCACAGCATCTTTCAAATACTGTTACACTTTATGTCATTGTGTCCTTGTACAACTGCCCTGTGTGCCTTTAATTGTCCCTCTGAGACAAATAAAGTTATGTGAATTGAATTGAAACAAACTTAATATACTTGACAGTACAGTTTCCCATAATGACTGTGTACATCTATATATATAACTATAACTATACATTTTTATATGAATATTAATATCTATTTTATATTTAATATTTGCATTCATGCATGAACTTAAGGTGGCTTTATGCTTTATTATGATTAATTGAATTTAAATGTAATGAATCAAAGACTATACAGACGCTCCTCTACTTATGAACTTTCAACTTACAGACTTTCAGACATATGAACAAAGAGGACTGTAAGTCCAAATTGTGCTAGTTGGGCTCCCGTTTCCTGTCCACAACATACATTTTTTTTCTGCGCATCAGTTCCGCCTAGTACGACTTCTGGCCGCTACTCCCGCCGCGCAGCAGCGTAGCATGCGAACTCCCAGCATCCTAGTTCTTTGTACTTGCGTATACCCTGAAAATGATGCTGAATAACGACTTACGAACATTTCAAGTTATGAACAGCCATTCGGAACGTATCTCATTCGTAAGTAGAGGAGCGTCTGTACTATTCATAATACTAAAAATTCCATCCAAAGAGGAAGTGCGAAAGAGGTCAAGACGATCAGGCGTTAGGGTTAGGGTTAGGGTTAGGGTGAGCACCCTGTCCTTCAGGCCACGCTGGGACAGGTTCTCCAGTATCCAGCGCTTTGGGAGCTGGCACACTGTGCCACTCGGCCCCCCTGCTGGGAGGGACATAACACATGTACTGCTGTCACATGGCAAACTGCCGGCCTCATAAATATAAAAAGAGGCCTTGAAATGACGCATGTCAGAAAATGACCCGAGGGGCACAGCACTAGGGCCCCGAGAGCCCATCTACTGCTTAACACCAAGTTCTGCTGCTGATGACTGTCAGCTCAGAGGTTTTCTATAATTACGCTGCGAGCGCCAGACCTGTAACTGATACGTTAACCAATGTAAAGATTGCAGTGTTTACCCAATTTTGAAAAATGTGTTGAGTCTAGTGTTGCATGCTCCCTGACCTCATGGACCGCCTTTAAGGTGTGGGCTGAGGCCATGAAAGGGCATGCAGACGGCCGGCTTTTGCAGTAACCGGCTGTGGGCACTTGGGGTTACCACACTGCAATGCCCCACACTGCAATGCCCCACACTGCAATGCTCTATACTGCCGTTGGTTGCTGGCACCGCACAGACAACCCTGCAGCAATGCTGTCACAGGAACGCACACAGAATGGGCAATTTTGACGCCAATTCACCTAACTGCAAATCTTTGCACTGCAAGAAGAAACCCGGAGAGTGGCCAGAGAAAGCCCACACAACTCAGGGACAATGTGCATGGATTCAAACCCCCATCCTTTTAAGGTGACACAGCTATCCAATGCAGCCCCTACCCTTAAATACAGTCAGGTCCATAAATATTGGGACATCGAAACAATTCTAATCTTTTTGGCTCTATACACCACCACAATGGATTTGAAATGAAACGAAGAAGATGTGCTTTAACTGCAGACTTTCAGCTTTTATTTACATACAAATCAGGTGAATGGTGTGGGAATTACAACAGTTTGTATACAGTATGTGCCTCCCACTTTTTAAGGGACCAGTAAGTAATGCATGAGGAGTGTAAATAAGTACTGATCATGTTTATGAACACATACCCCCCAATAAACAAATAGATACATAAATACAAGGTATATAGATTACAGGTTCCTGTCTTATGAGATTACTATTTATCGACAAACTTCATACCCCTTTAAAGAATTAACCATAAAAATCACCTTAATGATAATCTATAGATCTTTAATACTTTCATGGCTGCTCTGTTTCCTTTTCCAAGAACAATATCTGTAATCCACACAGAATTAGAATACAAAGAATTAAGATGGAGCCTTAGAATTCAGAGCATGTAGTTTTGCCGAACCACAGCTGGAGTGTAGCCAGCGGCTGAGACTGAGCAGCCCATGGTACATATCCAGATCAGCCGCCCATGCTACATATCCACATCAGCAGCCCATGGTACATATCCAGATCAGCAGCCCATGCTACATATCCAGATCAGCAGCCCATGCTACATATCCAGATCAGCAGCCTCAGGATGGCCTGGTCCAGGGAAGCACCTTAGGCTGTGGGGTCACCATTCTCAGCTGGAGGACTCAGAAACATGAAGCGTTCTTGCAAAACAACTGTATCCATGCCTTTCAGCCCTAACATCTTCCCACAATCATATTGTTTCCACATTTTCTCTAATATGAATAGCTTCTTTATTGAATTACTTTTGGGTTTGATACATTTGTAAATCAAAGCGATTTCAAGAGGACCAGTACAACCATTTCCTATTTTCAAAAACCTCTGATGGAAAAAAGGACTCAACATGTCTTCTAATTCTTTGTACCAAAGTTCCTTTATAAGAAGAAGCCCAATGTTCTCAAGGTGACTGAGTTTTAATCTCTATTGACTGCACTGAAGGGCTGTGATATTGTCATCATTTCTCAAGGGATAATTTTACCGGATCATCTCTGCTTAAGAATTTATGTCTTCTTGTCTAAATTGTTTCCCCCTAAAATTTCTATGGGAAGTATTATTAAAATCATCATTACATCACATTCTCTTAATATAACTGGAGAAAACAATTTTGGAAAAATAAAATTTTTTGCATATCTTTTGCAGAGCATTCTGGGAGTTTAGGCAATAAAAAGTAGGATTTAATCCCTTCCGGATCTATCATTTCATTCTTTGTCCTTCAAGCTGAGGCGCTCCTTTATCGACAACTTATTAGACCTTACTACCCCAATACATTTTACTGACAGCAAACTGTTACAGAGATGAATCTATGAATATCTCTTTATGCATCAGAATGGATTTGGATAGAGGTGACATTATTGGTTCAGTTGTATCTCCGTCACTTTATCCTGAATTTGAAATGTACTTCCTGGCTGTATTTAATTGCCCCAAGGAAACCCTGTCTCTTTGCAACAAAGAGAGCTGCACTCACCGAAACTACATAGATGGGTATGCTGAATAGTTTGCCTCGACCTAATTCAATAATCCGACTCTCTCCATTAGTTTGGGTCAACAGTCAAAGCTGGGAGGCTTTTTAACGTACTGTTCATATACAGTGAAATTCAAGCGACTCCCCATGAGACAGCTTTCAATGAAACGCTCACAGCATCTCGCGGCTCCACAGCCATTGTTGCTTTATGTTCGATGAAAAGTGTCACAAATTCATTGCACCTTTTATCATACCCTTTCAGATTTGTCTTCAAGCTGACACACACGAGGGATCACAGATGTTTACTTTAGCAACCCGGCCCGGAGATGAGCCTAATCTAGGCTACATTAGGCTTAGTCTTCCCAACAATGCCATAACAAAAAGCCACTCTCCCTGTCTGCGCCACAGAAAGTGGCTGAGGCCCCCATCTCTTGTCCCGTCCAAGGTTAGCTTCCTGTTCTCTATTGTCTAGTACAGCATAGGGGCTCTACTTTACTTGCTGAATGTCCTCTGATGTCTTTTATTTTAATATGATGTTTTTTGTTAAGCTATACATGCTCGTATTTAACACCGGTGAATGGGTCATGGCGCATGAGTTTTCGCAGCATGTTGTTTTTAAATCTAGCAAGCTAAAACCCATGTCAGAACCCATATTTTCCTGACATCTCTCTTGACATGCTCCAGATATTGTCCTGGGAGAAGCATGCTCGATTAACTTTAGCCAAGCACTAAACGTGCCATGAAAACTTGATACTTTCATCGCTGCTTGTCTGAAAGGGTATAAACCTCTCCTTCTGAGACATCACCCCTCGACCTCATCTGGAAAGGCCTTGTTCACTACCAGGCTTCAGGTAAGATCATACACAGGCCTATTCACGTTCGGACTCCCTCAGTGCTGTGAAACTAGGGTTTGACTCACAGAAATTTGTGCCTGTTCTGAGTTAACTATTAAATTGGTTTAAACTGGAAACCTAGAAGTAAAATAATACTGACATTTAAATATGAATATGGCCGATTCACTTCAGAAAGCAAACAAGAGTAACTATGTTTGGTCCTCCTACAGAATGCTATAATGTTATCTAACATACAGAGAATATACAGAGAAATGAGAAATTGCTCTCAAAGAATGACCTGTACATTTCAGTACATATGCATATATTGTTCAAAGTAACCGAATTCTGACCCTCCTGTTACTTTTCAAAGATCAACAGCTGGTAATATTGTACAGTATTCTGGTCACAATACTGATACCATCTGACATCTTCTTCCAATTTGCACTTAATTTTTCCAAGAGACAACTAAAATGAGAGTGGATTATTTCATACAAAAAATACTTTAATTTATTTAAAGAAATGTATTGTCATACAATATTTTAAATGTTTATTATCAATCTAGGAATAAGAAGCTGGATTGTCTGGGGAAAACAGACCTCTTACTAGTGCCTGCAATAAATCTTAAAACCATCGTGACAGCTAGAACAAGCCCTTGTAAAACAGAGATTTCCTGGCCCCAAGGGCTCAAGTTGGAGCTGCTGGAGGTTGTACCAAAAGTCAAACAGGGCATGTCTGACAACTGATTTGACAGGGAAACACTATTAGCTGAGCCACGCTCCACTAGTGAATCATTTCCTTTAAACGGGGACTGGGGGCTGAATGTCTGAGACGCCCAGATTCAGCCATGGGACAGAGTTCCTGTAGTCTGTTGATTTAGCCCTGAATCCATGGTGGCTCCATGTATGCATTAAGCTCTGCATGTCCTTCCACTGGTAATGCTCAAACAGTAAGCGTTCTCCACAACCATCTTTGATGCAGAGACCCAGATTGTTAGGAAGATGGCCACTGAAAAATCAACTCCAGATTGAGTCTGGATACAATGGCGTCCCGGACCTGTGGAAAATCCAAGGTCACTTCGTACTGACAGGAAACATTAGTTTCCCTCATATTCTAAAGAACTTTTCCTAAGTCAGGATATAATTTGTAAATCTGAACAAAAGCTGAAGTGCGTCACTATGGCCTGTAATACTGCAACAAAATAAGCCTGACCTCGATGGCATGAAAGTAACAATGTGTTTTTACTAAACGGTCATGACTTCCATAATCATCTGCAGTCAGATGCGTTTTTCTCCTATCAAATAATGCTTCCTGTTTTCTCATAGTGTAACTGAACAGAGATTAGCAATACACGCTCTGAGCTCCTCACCTGGAAACCGGGCACTGCTGCCTGAGCTCGCAATAGCTTCCAACATGCATTGACTGTGTCCCCCTGTCCTTCTTCCCACATGTTGCTGAATTATGGCACATGTATTTTTGTCTGAGGGCCTTGTTCACTACTGCACAGCACAGCTACTTTAGCACAGCTGGCTGGGTTTTGAAAGCGTTTCGATTAGGTTCATCTAGCTGGTTGAGCTACACTTTTCAGCTAGCAGGATTAGCTACAGTATGCTTTTCCATTAGGATTGGGTACCCAGATAGCTGTCTGTTTTGATTAGGTTTGGGTAGCCGGATGAGCTACGCGTTCTGATTAGGTTTGGGTAGCCAGATGAAATGCGCGTTCTGATTAGCTTTGGGTAGCCGGATGAGCTACACGTTCTGATTAGGTTTGGGTAGCCGGATGAGCTGCGCGTTCTGATTAGGTTTGGGTAGCTGGATGAGCTGTGTGTTTCAATTTGGTCTGGCTAATAGAATGAGATACATGTTTCGATTAGGTTAGGCTAGCTAGATGAGATATGTGCATGGGTCACATTCAACGGTGAGACTTTAGATCTTCTTACTTGACACTATACTGCCCGGAAAAACAGTCGAAATAACAATATAACAAACCACAGCGTTTCATTCCCCCGTGTTCAAAGTCTGCATGGTTGGATCACTGAGAATCTTTCTATTTCTGTTCTTCAAGTCTTTGCTCAAGTTTATTTTGTTTTTTCCTTTAAACACTAACTAGTCACTCCTTACTTTTATGTAACATTTTTTATCACTTCCAAAAGACATTTTGTAATGCATGAAATGCAGCTGAACAAGTGTATTCATAACTCAACACTCAGGTTTCTCACTACACAAACACACAAGTCGTCTCTTTGTTGAAACAATTCACTTTGCTATGTGGCTAATTTCATACCATTTTAATTGCTGCTTAGTACAGGCGCTACTGGTCCACTTCAGAAACATCCTCTGCAACCAAATGGGAGACACAAGCACCCAGCAAGCTACAAGTAAACATTGAAAACCCAACACAAAGTTCCAGGCTCTACACACATTATGTCATGTCCTGTAAAGTCCTCACTGGCTGCTTGTCTTGGGATCCTATGGCCATGCATGCATGTTGGGCCCATTTCTCTCACCTGTTTTTATACACAAAGAACACACATCGAAGTCATAAATCAGATACTGTAGTAATAATAGTATTCCAGTAGATAGTATTCTACCTCCTGTTTAAATGTTCTAATGTTTTCCATTAGGCACTTTGAACTGCATAAGAAACTAACTGTATTTATACTCGGACTATGGCCCACTGGGAAGTGCCGCAATGCATTATTTTGTTGTTTAGCTGATGCTATTAACAAAAGCAGCTTGTAAACTCATTTGTACAGCCAGATATTTTATGGGAGAAATTCTGGCACTACTCCTGGTTTTGAGTACCACTGCAACGCCCCAGTTAAGACCCTTCAGGGTAGATGGCTGTGCCTTTACCCATAATGCTCAGTGCTACAGTGTAAGCAAGCATACATAAGGCTGAGAATGACAATCTGCAAATGTTTTTAGCAGAGTTAAATAGCACAACCTGGTGGTCTTCATGAGAACACACAGGTTTCAAAGATTTCATTGATTCACATCTCATTGGACAATCCAGATAATCAATGCCTGCAACTGGGTCCAGGCTTGAGCAGAACCTGTGCTCCTTTATGCTCTTCAGGTTTTTCTTCACTGGTATTGTATCACATATTTTTTTGTTTTTAATGGTTGTTTTTATAGATTCTTCTCACTCATTAAATTTCCACTGCAAAGTCTTAATTTACTTTCATAAACTAACATTTAGGTTTAAATACCAGACAGATGATTAAGTCATTGAGCTCCCAAATCATGAAATCAAAAATCTCATCTGTGGAAATCTGCTGGTTGAAATTATGCCACTGTCATTTTTTAAAACCATAAATGAAATGTTCTAAATTACCCATGAAAGCTTCCCTAGATCAGTGTTTCTCAAACCATTCCTTGGGGATCCACATTTTTTCTCCAGTGACCAAAAATGTGGACTGCCTGGTAGAAAGCTGGGAGGGAGTAAATACGTGGACCATCTGGGGTCCCGAGGACTGGTTTGGGAAACACTGCCCTAGGTGTAGGATAGAGAATGTGGAGCATAAAAACCAGCACAAACGCAGAACCAGCTGGCTGCTCCTTGTGATGTACTGTAGTACACAGCTACGGTCTTTTAAAATGCAGGCACACGCCCATAAGTCACTGGTGCATTGCTAGGTGGCTGGCTAATAATGTACTCTAACACACTGGTTTTTAAAAAAACCTATTTATTTTGCAGGTGAAAATGTCGGTGAATTAATCTAAAATTGACAGGGGGAAACTATAGCTGAATTAAACAGGCAATCAAATATTGTTAAGCAACAGTAAGCAGTACTGTACTGGTTATGTTTACTGGTTATGTTACATACTACAGCACCTGCAAGGCTTTAGTCACCTGAAAGTAATGGACAATCATGGGGAAAATGAGTCACTTGACGTACAACAAAGCTAGTGTGTTTTTGGGTGACCTGCAGCCCACCTGCCTCACAGCGAGATGCTGCTTCTCTGATTGCTGACCTGCTGTCACTTGGGCAGCACTCGTGCCAGGCTGAATGGGCGGGGCTCCAGGGACGACATGGACGAATGGTGCAAGAGCGGCGGGGCTTTGAACCCAGGCAGCTCCCGGGCCGACCCTCTGCGGTAGGACCGCGTCTGCGATTGACCCGTCAGGTCACCACGCGTGCTGCCTGACAGCTCATAAGCGTTGCCTGTCCTGAGGAAGAGACGCAGGACCAGATTCAATGTCTGAAGATCTCAGTCCAAAATGGCAGTGTTTTAAAAGCAGTCTTAGAAGATACAATAAGACTCTTTTAAAATCAGTGCATATCCAGTAAAATTTGTATGACACTGGTGCCTAAAACAAAACAAAGGACAAACAAGTAAATACTACTTTTCATGCCTTGATCTGTAGATAAATATTGCATCTGTTCTTTTTTACACTTTTCCCTGCACCATTGCTATAGCCTGTTGGTAGAAACTTCTTGAATCTTCTGAGTGTTTCTCTGGTTAAAATAAAGGTGACTGGGGCTGGGCTGGCGGCCGCTGTGACGTCCTACCACATCATACATGTAATGTGACACGAATTTATAGTTTCACTAAGATGTGTGTCTGACAAATTCAACATGTACCTCTTAAGAACACCAAGCTAAAGAGAAAACTGTGGAAAAAAGGAAAACCGGTCAAATTCTTTCCTAATAACTTTGCTCTGTGTGTGGGCTGATTGTGCAAATACAAGCACGACCACTTGCAGATGTACTGTTTTGTTGTGATTGCTGATATGGTGAATTTGAAATTTTCCCCTACGTGACTGGATAAGGAAGGAGGAAAGGACGGGTGAATGGATGGATGGATGCATGTACATGTGAAGAGCCGGTGGTCACACATCCTGTGTGTATAAATTTCAGTGAAGAGAACTACCCACATCCTGCCATATGACTTCAGGTACTGCTCCGTTGTCCGGTGTGCTTATGACACCAACTGCAAGGTTACCTGACAGTGGTTGATCGTTCTGAATGTTGACCAATCATCAGCGAGCTCTGACTGGAGGACCTGCAGTGGATGGTACCTAAAAAAGAGACCAGCTACATCACACACAGACCAAATGTCAACCCAGGCCTTCAAGTTTAAAAGAATCTTAAAAGAAATATTCATATTCTGCATCTTTTCAAACAGCTTTATTCTCTAGAGAATAAATGCCTGTATAAAGTAACCTGTAGCATACAGATGAGGTAAAATGCCTTTAAAAAAACTGTTGAAAGAGGAGTTCAGCAAAGGTATACTGGTCTTTGTGTTCAGTCATATTCATTTAAAATTAATCTGTTCCATATCTGTAATCAGACATTCTTCATGTTTCATTAAGTTTTGAAATAGCTGATAGGTACAAGGCTCCCATGAGCTTTGGTCATTCCGAGGAACACTTGCCTGGTGGTGTACATGTTCTATAAAATCCAAGAAGATGGATTTTAATCATCCCTACATTTGTTTGTAAGGGAATCATGTCGAAATGATGTTGGATGGAATGCTGTCCTAAATGACTCAGACACACCGGCAAGGTGGAGGGAATATTCAGTATAAAAACCATGTTTCCCTAAATTAAGAACATACATTTTTAGATCAAAGAATTCCATGGCCCCTCATTAAAAATGTCAATTATCCAACAGGTCAGGCCGCACTTTGGTTTCTTGGCCTCATTAAATAGAATTTTTGTTTCCATAAAATGCAATTTTTGCTGAAATTATAGAGTGCGACAACGAATGGCCAAACATCTATGTATATCACTGGGAAATATTAACATCACAAAAATGAAGCCGAATAAAAAGAAAAAAACTGCTTTAATGCTTTAATGTCTCAGCAAAAGTCAAGGAGGTTCGCTTGAGAAAGCCCCCATCCAGCGGAGAGGAAACCTTGGCCCTGCGTCTCACGCTGAGCTCACGGTGTAATTACTGCCATTCGCAACAACACTGCATTACAACATGTCTTTTAGTTTGACCTGGAGGCACAATAAAATTTCAGGTGCTTAAGAGACTGTTTTATTTAGAAACAAATAGCACCATACACTAGAACATATTCCCAAGCTGCGACTGCGGGGTTTTGTTGGAAAAATCAGTTATATAAATGCTGCTTAAAAGTTAAAAAACTAAATTTTTAGTCACACGTTTGTATCTGCCTCACAAATTCCCAACTAACAACGTCGGTCCTTCCATTTTATGACAAGGCCAATTCATTAATTGGAGTTAATTAATTCAGTCTTGCACAAACAGTAAAACTCAGAAAATTGTGTCCTGGAGGTTTGTAACAATAAAAGTCTTCCCTAGGGGAAAGTTTGAAGCTGACCAGAGTCTCTCAGCTGGGCAACCTGTCAAACACACCCGCAGGAGATGCTTCGCTCCATCAGCTGCTGCTATCAGCCTGCTGGAAAGTTCATCTGAATCCTGCATGTCTTGTAGTATATTAGATAAACTATCATGCTCCAGAGTGGCGCAGTGGTGCAGTGATTAGCACTGCTGCCTTACGGCAAGAAGGTCCTGGGTTCGGTCCCAGGTCCTTTCTGCGTGGAGTTCGCACGCTCTCCCCGTGTTTGTGTGGGTTTTCACTGGGGGCTCTGGTTTCCTCCCACGGTCCAAAAGTATGCAGGATAGGTTGATTGGTGAGACTAAATTGGCCCTGTGAGTGTGTTGGCGGCTGCGCAGGGTTGGTTCCTGCCTGTGCCCATTATTCCTGGGATAGGCTCTGTGACCCCAGTTGGGATTCAGTGGTTTCAGAAAATGGATGGATATCATAGTGTAACTCCTTCAAATACACCCTAACCACCTATGCATATACATGTAGAAACAAAACCATTCAAAAGTTTATACTTGGCGGAGAAAAAAGGAATTAGCATTCATACATGTCCATGGTTCTACGCACCAATCTGTCCATAGGAAGCTGGCCTGATCAGGGACAGTCTGGAGACCGGGCCCGCTGTCTCTGGCTGTGAAAAAGGGGGGTGACTGCAGGCTACTTCATCATATCCAGAGGGAGCTTAACAGCATGGCTGTAGGACTCTACAGAGATGACCTGCCTTTGGGCTGTTTCCTTCATACATACACAGTGAAGCAGTTTCTCACAGTATTTAGATTTTTTTTCCAATTTTTCCAATTACCAAAAAATCCCATCCTGCACAATACATAATAAATGATGAATTTTTACTTGGCAAAATAGTCTTTCACGACAAATTACTTTTAATTTGAATATATACATAAGCCGACAGTAGTTTTACTTGGAATCCTTTCAAATGTGACTGTAATGCATTTACATATTTATAATTATAGACAGCACAATACCAAAGAGACTGTATCCCACACTATAAAACAGGGTTATTCAAATCACGGTCCTCGAGGTCCGAGCACTGCTGGTTTTCCAGCCTTCCTTTACCTGTCAGTCAGGTGTGAAGCCTCTGACCAATCAGAATCAGTAATTATTAAACTAACTACCTGGGAGGACTGAAAACAAGGCCTGGATTTGGAATAGAGGGCCAGATTTGAAGAACCCTGCTATAAAACATAAACACAACTGCATATACACAAGTACATATGCTGAATATATACATGTAGGCATAGAAATGTAAATATTAACACATTTCTGCTTCTTTTGTTTCTCACATTCATTTCAAAGCAAATTAAATTACACTGAAAAAAGCCTTACAGAAATAGCAGTTTGACAGGTCCCACACAAATGCAAAACAAAGTCCTTTTTATGTAAAAGAACCCTAGGCACAAAGTCTCCTTTGCTTTGATTTGTCTTTGGAGGGCACTTACCTTCCTGAATGAGTCCTGGCCGTCCACCTCCATTGGCTGAGCGCTAAAGGAAGAACACATGAGGCTTTCAAGACAGGGTTCTCTTTGGGCTGTAATAATCACTCAGGCAGTAGGGCTGTGAGTAAAATCATAAGGTACACACAGCATATATTGTGATCTAAGGAACACAGAGCAATCAGAGGAGACTGGCTGACATTGATAACGTTAGAGCTAGTTCACTTAGATTTAGCTATAACAAAGGGAATAGATTTATAACTGAGATGTAAATTCTAAAAAGTTAAATTGCATGTTGGGGAAACTTTGTTTGCTAACATAGGAAATGTAGGCATAGGCATAGGAAAGCAGTTGGTTAGGTATTCCCAAGCTGGCCTATCAGGCACTGGGATAAGATTAGGTATTCCCAAAATGGCCTATCAGGCATTGGGTTAAGATTAGGTATTCCCAAAATGGCCTATCGGGTATTGGGATAAGATTAGGTATTCCCAAAATGGCCTATCAGGTATTGGGATACAATTAGGTATTCTCAAGATGGCCTATCAGGTATTGGGATAAAATTAGGTATTCCCAAAATGGCCTATAGGGTATTGGGATAAGATTAGGTATTCCCAAAATGGCCTATCGGGTATTGGGATAAGATTAGGTATCCCCAAGCTGGCCTATCAGGCATTGGGATAAGACCACAAGTGTGAGGAACAGCTGATATGTGTGTCGGGAAAGCTCAACATAGGCACCTTCCTCAATATTATATTCTTAAGAGTCGCCAAATAAAAGCAGGAAATGAGAAAAGACTAAAAGGGATGAGTAAATTGGGAGTACTGGGGAGTGTAGAAAGCTTTCGCAGAATTCTTATGCTTATATTGGGATAATGCTTAAAATATACAGTATATATTTAAACACATACTGTAATCCTAGACTGAAATATGCTTGACAACCCAATCTTGTTTATTTTTACTTTTATTTTGAAATCTAAATAAGGCCACATTTTTTCATTCTAGGATCAATCTCGATCATTTCAGTATCACTTTCCCATATACAGAAACCAGAGCCAAAACGATTCATGGATATACGTTGGATACATTCCTGCCAGCTGAAATTCATTTCTGCCTTCAGATCCCTGTTCGTTTGGACAGGACTCAGAAAGTACTAATGGCAGGGTGAGCGTCTGCATTGAACTGCCATCACAAACGTCATGCTTAGCCATATGCTGGAATCACTCACCGGCTGCTACCTTAGAGGTCGCCTCAGGCTTCAGGCGTTCTGAACCTGAAAGCCCTGCGCTGCTCTGCAACTGTCACTTTGTGGGCACTTTTTTCACTAAGTGTCTGACAGGGGCTGCAGTCAAAACGATGTGAAGCTTCGTTTGGACATAAGAGTTTTATCCCCTTTCCATGGATTCAGGGTAAATTGACTTCCACGGCGGAGACTCGTCATACATATCCCTAGGGCCCGAGGTATTTCAACAGAACTGTTTATCAGAACCTGCTTTTTGCTTCTTCCCTCCACCATCTGGGTTTATTTTTATATTATGTTACTGAAACAAAAGAAATAAACCAACTCTAATAGTTTCCAGTCTGAAGTCCAACTTAAAGGTCTTTTAAAAATTTTTTATTATAGGGTTGCTCTATAAAGGCAACCAAGGACTCTCTTTGGTATGATTTTACTGTATCCTGTCTGTTATAAAATGTACAAAATCCAAACAAACGTTTGATTTATGGCCCTTGGTCTAATATGGTAAATACCACTTACAAGAGTATGGGGAGAGGATATGTTTCCAAATTTAAGGTTTCAGTATTGATGTCCATCCAAGTTGTGTGTTTCATTGACATGTCTGCTTATGAAAGCAAATGTTCACTGGCCACTACAGGGTAAACAAAGGAAACTCAACCATTGTGAAACGAATGCCATGAGTAACATTAAAACAATGGAAATGATTCATAAATGTTAACATACATATTTCTGTTGAGTCCCCTGATTCATAAAAATGGGTTTAATCGCCAAGATATACAGTATACTCCATGGAGGTTGGGGGAATTAGTGCATTTCCATTTGTCAATATGAAGGCCATCTCACACAGCATCAGGAAAATTGCCAAAGGGCCTTCAGATGAAGTCCACCATTTACAAACATTATGTGTAGAGGGTACGTCCATGCACTGTACCCCCAGACACCCTGAACACTGCACACTGATGCTGGAAATCAGAAGGCAGCACTGCCTTTATCCAGTTAGCTCAGTTAAACACACATCTTGGAGGTGGGGTTTGGCTCAGTGGGTTAGGATGTTGCGGGGGGTGTGGCTCAGAGGGTTAGGACTCGTGATCTGAGGGTAGCTGGTTTGAATCCCGTGGCCAGCAGACCAATGCTGCTGTGGGCCCTTGAGAAAGGTCCAATCACTCCAGGGGTACTGGACAATGGCCGACCCTATGCTATGACCCTTTCTCTGACATATCTATGTGTCTGTGAGTCTCACGGAGAGCAAGATGGGACAGACAAAAAAAGAATTTACCCACAGGGGAATTACTATTCTATGGTACAGAATACAAAGAAATGTTTCCAAATTTGTGATCCAGCAGAAGGTAAAGAAATGGTACAAGCAACCTTTTGGATGCTGTATTCCCATGGCGATCGATCAATTCAGCTGACAGATGGTTTCTAAGCATTATCTCTTTTATTACTATTGATTACCCTGGTAAGAGTAAGCAGGGCCCACTATGTGGACACAAGGAGAAGGACTTGACTCACATTAAAAACATTTGACCAAATGACCATTCCTTAAAAGTAGGCAAGGCTAACAAAAGTCTCCATTCACAGTCTGCATGTTGTAACTAACTCTACAGCAATTAGCTAAATGAAGCCGTTCATTGTAAACACACTTCACCATCAGCCATCAGATTAAGCAGCCTTCAAAATTAAACATATTCATTACATTAAAAATAAATACACAGTCTGTATGCAAACCTGGATCTAAAATAGCCACTGGGCAACCTATGTTAAAGCTAGCCTAGACTTAGAATGAGTAATAATTAAATGAGCTACGCTATATTGGTACAATGTTATGCTAATGCTAAAGATATTACTTCACTTCAGTGCACAGAGGGAAACCGTATACCTTTTTGGGTAGTTCTTCATGGTAGTTATAAATGGGCAACCAGTCAAACCAGAAAAGAAACAAAAACAATGCTAATAACCATTTGGCGGGGTGAACGTCGGTAAAATATCTTACCCAAAAGTAGCTGTGCAAAACTTCCATTGCACAAAACAGAGGATCATTCACAAAAAGAAAACAAAGAATAGCCAATGAACTTGGGAATGGACCCATGTTAGGGCAATAAAAGCTGGAAATGGCTGAACAAACTGAACTTGTAGTATCAATCAGTTAATGGACAAAGTGACTGCTGCTCTTGGCTCAATGATTCATTAGCACTGCAAGGCCCCAGATTCTTCCCAAAATCAATGCAAGCAATCACACTTAAGTTTGAAGTCCCATAAAAGTTTTAATATTTAAAAAAAAACATAATGCCATCCTACTATCCACTAAACAGCCACTGCTCCAAAAAACACTTTGATGTTTTTCCAATAATAACTCAGTAATGTTCCCTATGACCTTGGAGTGGCGCTGCAACAGTCCCAGCAGCGCTCATTCTGAGATCCAGAGAAAGCCAAAAGCTCAAATGCAGCCCTTAATGAATGGGAAACCAAACAAGGCTGGGAATTTATTTGGAATGCTTTTACAAAAGTACTGCCTTCTGGGCTCTTCATGAAAGCCAATGTACATTCTGCTTTGGACACAAAAGCAGGAAGTCTTAGCTGCTTATGTTAAATGACCTGACACGGGACAGTAAACCTGGACAGGGTTCTTGTGGGGAGCTCGAGTGGCGACGCGCTCCTCCACTCAGCAGAGACTGGAGACTATAAAGTGTCTCACCACATCTCACAAGGTAGCCTAGGTTCAGTTTTTAAGTCAGAATTAATCAAGGATGCAAACTCATCAGAGGTGAAAAAGGTGACAAGGATACAACTGCCCATCCTGTCAGCCTGAAAAATCTCTCGGTAATTCCCGAACTTTATCATGAGACACGACGAGGAATTGTCAAAGAGCTGTCCTTCACACCATCATGGATGGACGTCCGGGGCCACTGAAAGTTTCCTAACTGTGACTGCTCATCACATTACTTGGGAGCGCCATTTTGCAGACCTGCCCACTTTATGAGAGCCATACAGGTGACCATCTCCTTGAAGCACTGACAGAAGCAGTAACAGATTGGAAACTGGAGCGGGGCAACAACACAATCCCTGTTACTACAGACAATGCAAAAAACATGGTGAAGGCAGGCAATACAACAGCTGGACGGATTGGGTGCTTTGCAAACACACTTAATCTTGCAGCCAGGAATGCAGTCTCAGTAAGTCAGGTATCCTGACTCCTGGGCAAAGTTAGGAAGCACAACATGCACTGAAAACCAAGCAGGAGATGCTGAAATTGCCTGTTCACAAACTAATACTTCATGTCACAACTCGTTGAAACACAACATGATATACTGGAGCGTTATGTGGAACAGCAGGCTGCCATCTATTCTGCCCTTATGGACAAGGATGTCAAGAAGAATGTTAAAGATATCGATGTCTTGACTGAGAGTGAGGCAAAACTGGCAGAGGACCTAATTGAGATGTTCAAACCTCTGAAGAATGTGACAACCCTCATGAGCACAGAAACATACCCCTCACTGTGAATGATCATCCCTCTGCAGTAGATGATAATGAAATCAATTACTCCAAGTAAAGAGGACAGTTGCACCATCAAAGATGCTAAGGCAGCCATCACTAAAGACCTGGAAGGCAGATACAAAGACCACTATGTTCAGGACTATCTGCACAGAGCCACAGCCCTGGATCCAAGATTCAAGTCCCTGCTCTACCTGGAGGAAGCCTCTCTTCAGAAAATATACAGTGATCTCACCACAGAGATTATGGATATTGAAGATCAGGTATTGTGGTTTTATTTTTGTATATAATTAAATGTAATGTTATATACCATTTAACATTGCTCTATTTTTTAAACACAGCATATTTGTGCCTTAGCAATATTTTCTTTTCCCACTGTCCAATAGAGAGCAATTTCAGAATCTTAGCTGCCATGAAAGTTTTTTGTTGTTATTAATATTTTCAAAACTGCTATGCTGTTTGCCTTTTTATACCACAGGGTAAAGCCAATGATGCCCAGGTGGCCAGTTCATCCTCAGCAGCAGAGCCAGAGACATCAGCGATGTCATGTCCTCCCCAGAAAAACAAATCTGTCATGGCAGAGCTATTTGGAGAGCTCTCTACAGAGGAGAGACCCCCTAAGCCATTGTGCAGCATCACTCGGGAAGAAGTCATGTCATGCAAGGCCACAGGCTCCATTTCTGTGGATGCAGATCCACTTGCATGGTGGAAATGCAATAAGCATAAGTATCCTCGCATTGCTAAGATGGCACAACGCTACCTTGCTGTCCCAGGTACATCTGTACGAAGTGAGAGAGTTTTCTGTATAGCAGGGGACATTGTCACTGCAAGTAGATCTCGTCTCTTGGCAGAGAATGTGAACAAACTGATCTTCTTGCAGAAGAACATGAAAATGGAATGAACAGAGCAGTGTTTATTAGTTTGCTTTATGTTGCATGTTATATTAATGGTCTGCTAATTTAAGGAAAAACCTTAAGTCTTTCCATTAAGAAATGCCAGTCATGGAATTGAAAATTTGTTATATGTGTTTATTTTAAAGAAATGGATGTCTGTTTGCTGGTTGATCCTATACTTCACTTTATGTTGATGGCCTTTGCTTATATTTTGGTCATAAAAATAGTAAAGTCAGAGTTCTTTTGTTTACACCAATTTAGGGGTCAGAGCTTTAAGAGCCAGCATTATCCTAAGACTGTCACAATGACGTGCCTAATGCCAAACGGCCTCATTCATTCAGTTTTTACAGGACTACATGACACGTCCTTGAGAATAACTGATATTTTAAGAACCGTAAATGGTGGATTATCTACTGCTGATGTATGGTATTTCTGGAGTGTTGTCAAAATAGAAAAAAAAGTGAACTGAACTGAACCAAACCTAAAACTGTGACCCGAAACCGTGATACGAACCCAACCATACATTTTGTGAATAGTTCCACCCCTAATTCAGAAGTAGTGCTATTCATTTGCTGAATAAAAACACCACAGTATACCCAACCTACCATGGTATACCGTATAATCTGGTCATGCCCATTTTTGATGGACTCTGCGGAGGCACTGGATATCTTTCGTGCCAGTGTGACTTTACCTTTAGATGTGACACTGCAGCACACCCCTCACTGACATTACCACTCCTCAGGTTAAGGTGTAAGATCTAACATGGCCCCGCCATCTTGGTCAGTTTACTCACGAGCACTGCGAGGGCGCCAGTCGGGGCTGAGAAGCCAGCGGTACATAGGGCAACTGCAGCACTGTGGAAGCTGAAAAGACAAAAGGCAGTGTGGAAACTCACGATGCCAATGAGCAACAGGCTGAGGTACACTGACAAAAAGAATTAAAAGAATTTTTAACATGTTCTACAAACAAACAGGTGATGTCAGGATGCAAAAATATGCTCAGTCACAGTGATGCATTCCATGGCCACAAGCTTCATACACACATTCATATGTGACACATCTTAAATACAAAACTTTGTTTATACTTAAACATAGCTGAAATCACTTTCGTAGTTTGCCTAGGGAGCATTTACAAAATGAACGCCACGTGTGTTTATGAAACTGCTCTTTCGTTCCAATAAATTCCGCACTCCACAGGAGTTCTCCAAAAGAGAGGCTTTGGATATGCTGATGAAAGCACCGTCCGGGAAAATTCATCCGCATGCAAAACTGCTTTTACTTCTGTGTCCTCCAAGTACCCCAGGACTGGGCTCAGGAGCCACAGCAAGCTTGCAACAAGCATGGCCTGCACATGCTCAGAAATCACCAGAAGCCGCCAGACACTCGCCGTGTCAGGTTACCTACACCCGCACCCTGTCACCAGGCCCGTGATGAATTTACGGAATGTTGCCGCAATTAGGGTGATTAACCACTGTGTTTGGGGGAGAAGCAGCCTACAGAATCGACAGAGAAAAAGAGCTGAAACACACTGCCTTCCAACAGCCCCAAGAAAAGGAAAATAGATTCGCTTTTCTTGGACTGAATTAAATACAGCAATTTATCACAATTTGTTGCACACTGGTAATTGTTTTACGCCAGGAGCTTGCCAGACTGTGGAGGAAAGCATGGTAATGCCTTATCTAAAAGATCACTAAAATTCAGCAAGGAAATAAAACCACAGCTGTGGAGTCACACTAACAACTGCAGACAATTCAATCAGCATAATTACACTGGCCTGAGCCCACTGTTTCATACTGTAAGTGAGCTCTACAGAATCAAACTCCAAACAAAAAATCTACTGTCAGTCTAACGTGTTAGAAGAATTTAAGAAGAGGACTATTCTCTGCTGCCTGGAAATTAAGAGAAGGACTTTTCTCCTCTGGAGTTTCACTGACAAATTATTGAAAGCTGAAAAGGTCCAATTTCCCTGTGTAATTCAATACAAAGCCCATTTATTGATAGGTTGGATTAATTCTATAGAAAGAATGAACACATGAATGAATAGATAGATACATGAGACACAATGGTGTGGGGCTGATGCAGCCCCCCCCCCCCCCCAACACCGATCCTTATGCAGGAACAGACAAACACACGTTTTTTGGCACATGTTTGGCAGTTACTCTGTAGCATTAATTTAATTTATGTATGAAGAGATTATGGCTTAGGAAATATTTCAAGGCAAATACCAATACCTGCCACAAAAGGAAATAGTTGAATATGAGAAAGACAAAGGTATATTAAATGCAGGCACTTCCACAATGGAATAGTCCCTGAGTTAATTAACTTATTAACGTACTTATGGTCACGAACAGACATGCTGCACAGGCTGAGGTAGGCCATTCTTTCAGCTTCTATGGTCAGAGACCCTCCCAGCATGATTTAAACGGAACCACTCCAAGAGATCGCTTTCATTCTATGGTAAAGCCTTCTGTCTTGATGTGAGTACAGTCTTCCAGCCTGACAATGTCCCTTCCACTGTTCATGGACGGGCATTGAACATGTTTCTGAGCATGAAACAAATGTAAAGCATAAGCCATGGTGGTCCCTGTCATTGTACTGTATCTCAACCCAGCTGAATGCTCATGGGAGATCTGGGGACCACCAGCACTTGTGAAATCTATGCCATGGTTCACTGAAGGTCAGAAGGTCACTAATGTCGCCCTATGCCTTAAGATACTTTTGGCTTTATTTTGATAAAGCAATGTATATTATTTATATTGCTGAGTGTAAATTTGATTATACTACATATGTATGTATACAAAAGCTAAATATGTATGAATACATTAAATATTAACATCATGCAATCAAGCCAAAAACCATCTATAACATTACTGTTGCCTTTGGAACAACTAAGGTTCTAATAAGAACCTGACCTGATAATAAACACACTGATAATCAAGGACAGCAAATTCATAACCACAAATGACAGTGATCATATCAAACAAGTCTGACTTAATAAGCAAAAAAGTGTGTATAGAGTAAAGGCTTTACTCCGCTAAATCATACATAGGGGTTCGGGTTCAATCTGCAAACATTCAGCTTCTCTCTGTTGGTGCTTAGAAGTCGCAGGGATGAACATTCAGTCTCCACCTACTTGTCTTTAATGCCGGCTGAGATGTCTGCTGAGGCTGTGAAGCTGCCTTTGCACTGTGAAGCGAAAAATGAAGCTCACAGTTCAGCTGAAAATAATAATGGTTTACCAGAGAGTGAAATAGCTGCGCTAATTTCTCATTTATATATGCTTTCAGATCTCCTTGCAAGACAAAATGTTTCACTGCTCTACATGGTATTTATAACCAGCAATATTTAAAAATGATTATGTCAAAATAAATGTAAAGTCAAAACCATATCACTTATAAAATTAACAATGAACTTGTCATAAATTAGGAAAAAAAAGTTGTAATCCCTTGGACGTACCCTTGTACTGCGATATTTAAGTCCTCATAAACACTTAATCACACCAAGCTTGTGGATTTTGAATCTGATGATGGTTTTGCATGTTCTCCCGATGTTTCCTCTATGTACTGCTGTTCTGGTGACTTGGACACTCCGCGTTTCACTCAGTGTGGGATTGCATGCGTGTTGAGTTACTGTTAAATGTTTCTGTGTATTATAGCATATTTGAAGCAATAATCTAAACAAATGTTAAAGTATTACCTTTGATGTTTGAGTGCATTTTCTAACTTTGCAATATATGCCTTCTGTTCAGCCATTTTTCTGAAAATAAAACATGTAGGTCTTTCAAGGTCTATCTCATTACAGTATAATTAAATAGTAGTGCGTTTATCTATAACTCCTTACTTGTTCATTTCTTGCATCTCTTTCTTAATCATATGCATGTGCTCCTCTAGCTTAGCAATCTAAAATCAGGCAGAAAAAAGTCAGTAAGCAGATTTTTCAAAGACTGAGAGTTAAACTCAGCTGGGCATTGGGATCCAATAAGGCTTCAGATCTACTCTACCAGGCAACTGTCAGTTGTGAGTCCTATTAAAACTACCACTCCTCTAAACCCGACAACTGCAGTGTATAATGGCAGTGTGCTGACTTCATTGGTGTGATTGTCTTTGACTAGCATGACAGAGCATTGGAAAGACAAAAAAAATAAAACAAAACCGTTGTGCTATAAGAAGCAAAACAACATACAGCTGCAAACATTATGGCATTATTATAGAGATACATGTAGAAAAATGTTGCCATAACTACTTCTGACTGCAGACTTGAGGCATTAAGTCATTGTCCAGCTACAAAATGTATATAAATAAGGCAGATATTGCCACATACCCTCTTCTGGTAATGCACTAAGAGCCTTTTTCTGTGTCTTGTCTGAAATTGTAGCACCTGGAGTGTGACGGAAAAAGGCTTAACTTGCATCCAATGTCACTTATATATAATAATGGAAAAGCACACGGAGATGGCCACACTATCTTCATTATGACAGTGGAACAAGTGACTTACAGCCAATAACGTCGAGGTTCACTTACCATTTGGGTAAACATTAGAACGGCTAGGATACCTGATCCAAGTGATTTTAAGCAGGATGTGATTGTTGGTTGGCTATGTGATGGTAGTATATTATACTATTTTCTGCCATTAACCTTTTCACGAGATGCTGAAGTTAACCAATGTAGGTTGTGGTGTCTTTGCCAAAAGTTGACCAGGCTGGGCATGAGACAGGAGCCACCTAGAGAGGGCCCACTACTTCTTCGGAGACCTCGGACCAAGGTGGAGCCCCCAAAATTCTGAGGTCTCCTTTCATAAGCCAGGACCACTGGCTCCTCTACAGATTCCCTATTTTCAAACAGAAGAGCTCAATGGCTCCACCTGCCCAGGTTTCACAATCCCTGTATTTTCCCAGGTACCGGTCAGTTCGGTGTCCCTGCCGATCTGGCCCATCATCATACGCCAGGAAGTCAGAGCAGACTAAGTCTTGGCTTTATGGGCATCACACTAATTTATATAAGCAGGGATCCCAGTGACCCTGTATGGTATTCTGACCATTGACGTGGTGTTTCAGGCACAGAAATTAATCCTCATCCAACCCTTGATTGTAACAGCTCATTACACAGGTCAACAAATTTTTACTTTCTTGTCACACCAAATAACATCAGGGGCATTTTACTTGAATTCAGCACGAAAAATAATTTATCTAATCAGAAATTCCCTATCACACAAGGATTTTAAGTGACACACAAGTAATATTTACTGTATCTGTATCTTTACAGTATACGTGTATAGTGGAAGTGACTCATCTAAAAGGCAGAAGTACATGATTTCCTGCTGTACTTACCTTGCTTATTTCAGAGAAGTAATTTGTTGCTACAACACTGATGTCTGAGAAGAGGGCCTTTACTTCTGAACTACTCTGTGAAAATCAGACCAATCCAAAATTTTGGAATTTTAAAATCCCAACACATCTACAGCTGAAATAGAGTCAGACTTATGAAAACATTTAACGTTCAAGACTGTTTCCAAAGTCTAGCCAGTAAGGACAGATATGTTCCACTTACTTTGTGTGAGAGTGGAGTAATCTGACACTGTGCTTTACAAATCAGGCACTCTCCTTTTTTGCCTGAAATAAATAACTGTTTATGAAATTCTTGCAAAGAAATGAACCAAAACACTTTTTATTGATTTAACTTTTGAAGTACCTCTGAACCACCACTGGGTGGCCCTATTAGCTAATTTAAAATGAAGTTTAAATCCAGTTTTACAATAGGTCTTGTTTTTAGTTAAGGTGACAAAGCATTGACCGCATTTTAAATGTGCAGTATAGTGCCCTGTTAACAGTGTAGTACAGAGTTGTACTACGCGCCTGCCACTATGTTGTCATAGTCTTGCATACTGTGTTGCTACAGTGACCAAAGGCTGGTGTACCTTTCTGAAAGCAAGTGCTGCACACAGTATGGCCACAGGTGGAAATGGCCAGTTTCAGGTCAGCAGCGGGTGGCAGGAAACACGAGTTACAGCAAACCCAGCTGGGCATGTTTCTGAAGCACATAATGAGAAAACAATCACGTTTGGCAGCTTAGCATTCACCTGGCTGCACTAAAAATCTACCAATTTATCAATTGTTAGAAAAGTATTGTTACTGTCAAGCTTTCCCACTTCTATAAAATGTTAATTGTAAGTAAATACCTTCAAAAATCATGTGATGACACATTTTTATTGTTTTTTATTGATTATAATTAGCAGGATGGAATCACCAGTAAAAAAAAAATAGTTTTTTTAAAATCAGTTTGTCCTCACTAGTTTAAAACTCAGGCACTCAGACACCCTGCTTCAAAATATTTTATTATCTCCTAAGTGCAACATTCATACTTAGTATGAGCATATTATATCATATCCTATTCCGTTTCAGAGCAGATTAATAGCCAAATGTTTAAATTTCCTCACACGTGTCATTTAGTTCCGATAAATTGTTGAATACAAAACAGAAATACCAGTATGCACTGTTTAAGGTCTCTGTGAGTCACGTGTTTGCCCCAACGAATTGGCCATTACAAAGCTGTAGACCAGGGTTCTTCAACTCTGGACCTCGATTCGAAATCCAGGCCATGTTTTCAGTTCTCCCAGGTAGTTATTTAATAATTACTGATTCTGATTGGGCAGAGGCTTCACACCTGACTGACAGGTAAAAGAAGGCTGGAAAACCAGCAGTGCTCGGACCTCGAGGACCGTGAGTTGAATAACCCTGCTGTATACGGCAGGCCAGGCCCAGACGAACATACACAGGTCACGCTGTACTAAATAATGAGGTTTGTAGAGATTGTACAGAACCTGTCTATGTAGTCACTGAAATATAAGGCGTGGGGAAGGAGGGCCGCGCCATTCTCTTCTTTAACAATTTCAGCTTATTCAAAGTTATTGACAGGAAAAACGGGGCAGCTAGATCTGCTATTTATTTTACCGTTCGTGTTTAATTAAATAATGAGATTAAATATAATCATGAGCCATTTACTAGGCAAACTGTGGGCCCATCAAGTATCCATCCGGGTCAACAATTATTAGATTTTACAGACATAGCAACCTAGCCTAACGTAGCATCGTGTTCTACCTGTCTGTCCGTGTATCGGAGCCTCAGCACTAATAACCGCAGCAAAACGCCGTCTCTTTGCACTGAAGATAGACGTTAATGAATAAATTGCCGGAATGATTACACAGTTTAGTGCTTTTGTTTTCACTAGTTGACGCTCAGATACGAACTCAACTTCACTCGAATTTTGCCCATTTCCGTTAATCCGGACGCGTCACGTGACCACGTTGCGCGAATCGGCAAGCCTCGACCTGTAGCGGATTATACAAATATTATATTGCATAAGTCATAATGATATCTGGAAATAATTATGTAAGCACTGAAGGGACCTGTGCGTTTGTAAAAAAAAAAAAAAATCCAAAGAGAAATACTAGATGCATTATCATGCTTGAATATTTTAATTACCATAAATATTTATACTAGAAATATTATTTGCATGTATGGGCATCCATCCATTTTCTGAAACTGCTTGTCCTATAGAGGGTCACAGGGGGTCTGGAGCCTATGCCAGAGGCTATGGGCACAAGGCAGGATGAGGTGCCAACCCATCACAGGCCACACTCAGTGCTAGCCACCATGCCACCCCAATAGTTAATGTAATATTTTTAATTGTTTTCATAAGGAGGGTGGCTCAGGCGGTAGTACTGTTGCCTTGAACCTCTTGGTTTGTGGGGCTCGAATATCCCATCTGTGCACTTCTTAGAGAGCTTTACTCCAGGTACTGCAAGGACATGCAGTTTGGCTAATTTATGTTTCTAAAATTTCTTGGACTGGTGTCCAATTCTAGGTGTATTCCAGCCTTGCGGGATAGGCTCCAGTCCCCCCCGTCACCCTGACCAGCATAACCTACTATAAGATGGATGAATGGATGTTCTCAAAAAGGCCAAGTTCATTTCTGCCTCTGCTAATAGAAAGCATTATGGAGATAAATTGCAATATATTTCTCACAACTGAACACTGATAGATCAAGACAGTAGATAAATACAAAACAATTAGACAGTGGGGAAGGTACTTTGGGTTATTTAATGAAAGCCTGCAAAATTTTAACTGCCACATATAAAAAGATGTCAACCGCCAGTGGAGCTCAGCACTGTTTTATACTGACCTTTATGTTTAATGGCCGAAATGCAACAGGAGTTTTGGTAATCAAAGCATATGGCATTTGATAGTACAAAAAAGAAACAGGAGTTTATAGCCTAACCTTTTTATTTATACACCTTATGACATAACTGTATAATTACTTGTTTTACTCAGCTACTGCCATATAGCTACTTCTATATATGCTAGACAAACAAATTTCAATGCTTGGAGCTGAGAGGTAATCTGTTAGTTAATTAAACAAGCTTCTTTTCTATCAGGAAATCTTTCAGTCTTTTCACTTGCCAGAATCCGACCGTGAGGAGAATGGCTGTTTGTACTACTGCCCACCATAAAACCTTCCCATTGGTGTCTTCACTCATCTGCCGAAACATTTCCTCGCGTTCCTGAGGAGAGAGTTGACCTGGTCTGGTGCCATTTGCATTGTAAAAACATACATATACTTATGTATATACAGTACTATGCTCAGCATAAATGTATTTTAACACTAAAGTGTGTTCAGCACAGTAGACATGTTTTTGTGCTATCTCTGTGTAAGAGACTACAATTTCAATACCTCTTATTTGAAGTAAGATTTAATGGTAACATGAAGTGCACCTTCATAATGCATTTATAGAGCATTCATAGGCAGCATGTAAGTATACCTTAAAACCCTAACATACCGTAACAGTTTTAATATACATGTTTGTTATGATCATGTAATGTTTGTTATTAATATATATTAAAGCCGATAAGGTATGTTATGGTATACTTATATGTTTCTTATGAATGTTCTATGAATGCATTATTAAGGCATTTTGAAGGTGCAGTTAATGTAAAGTTAAACCAATTTAATTAACTTAATGATTTTTGGCTTGGCTTGATAACCTTTTTATTCAATTGTATGCATCGAGGCTGGTTAAAATCTAATATGAATTAAATGAAAAAAGAAAAAGATTTTCTCTAGGTTAAGAGAGAATGATAGAGGAAAGGCTTCGGGGTAGTGGAAGCTTGCTAGAGAAGCTACTGTATATTTAGTCCTTACTTTTTGTTTCTTTGCTCTCCAAGTTTGTTGACTTGAAGAAAGTGTAAAATAACCTTAAAAGAATTGTGAATTTGTTTGCCATTCTGGAATTTAATGGTGTTCTCGCTAACTGTTACTGTACCCTCTGGAAGTCTTGCTGCTTGCCAATGTAAAGGACTTGGTCGATCAGGTGCCGCAAAACGTATTCCATGTTCTTCACTGTGTCTTTGGCTCTAGCGGCTCCTGGGTCTATCGTGTGCTCTCCCATCTGCACGTCCAAATGGAGGCGCTGGCGGAAAGGTACAGGTCCGCCGATTAGTAAGTGCGGGCTGGTTAAGCACCATGCTTCACATGTATAAATAAATATAAATGAAAATATGAATAAAATATTAGTCACGAAGTTTAGATTCAGGTCTTTCTACTACAGGTCAAGTAAATGAAATTGTTTGGTACAATATATCCCATGTATCTTACCAGTCTGTCCCCAGCAAAAATAGAAAATCGTGTGGAATTTGATTTCAAGCAGAGGAAATGCTGGCCAGAGGAATGTGAGGTGAAGGTAAACTTCCCTTGACTGCCGTACCTTTTGGACATCAGCACCTGCAGCCCAGGAGAGAGGAGCATTCTCAATGAGTGCTGAAGACCTGCTTCACACAGGCTCCACTGAGTGCTGACGACCTGCTTCAAACAGGCCCCACTGAGTGCTGAAGACCTGCTTCACACAGGCCCCACTGAGTGCTGAAGACCTGCTTCACACAGGTTCCACTGAGTGCTAAAGACCTGCTTCACACAGGCCCCACTGAGTGCTGAAGACCTGCTTCACACAGGCTTCACTGAGTGAAATGCGCACCATGGTACCTGATGACTTGGGTCTCTCACGGTAACAGTTAGTCCAAGATGAGGGGAGCTGTCTTTCTTCATAGTGTCCCAGTACTCTAGTAAAAAATACCCTGAAAAAACACATTTTAAAGCTTTGTAGTACTGATATATGCTTTGGTTCTGAACTCAGATAAATACTTTGTACACAGGTTCTACAAGGATATAGTAGATATTGCCATTGAACTGTTGTCCTACAGTCAGCTCTGATATGCAGTTGGCAGCTGACTTGTTTGTCTGTTCCCTGTTCAACATGTCAGTAGTATTTGGTATAAGGAAGATATCTGACACATGTTCAAATATATGCTGTAGTGAAGAATGGATGTTATTGTTAGTGAGTTGGAAAAATAACACTTAAAACACCAAGGTTGGGTAAAAAATAGTGGCACACTTTTTAAACTGTTTTGTGGAAAGTTTAATGTTTATCTTGCCAAGCCAAATGGGGTGGTTATGTCATAATCATGTAAGGATATGCATTACTGGTACTTTGAAATTTAACTAGTAACATATTGAACGCCTTTGAAATATGTCAAGGTGCCTGATGTCTTTCTAACCCAGAAACAGATTGACTTACTGGATGACTGCAGTGTCAGCTGTGGTTTAGCGGTACCCTCCGGTGTGTCTCCCAGCTGCCTGACTGGTTTTAACTCACCTGTGACCAAGGTGTCCTGTGGAATCTCCTCAATGATGCACCTTTCCTCCTGTGGTCCCAGGTCAAAGAACATCCCAGATGTCACAGTCAGACAGTACAGCATCAGAAAGCCAGCTTTCCATGCGGCCATTTTCACTGCCCCACGCGAACCGCTTGCAGGAGTGTGGAATGGGTTTGCTTAACCGCAGTGTGAGAAGTCTACATCTGCTCCTCTTTCAGGCAAACACTTTGCTGATTGGAGCTCTACAAGAAATCAGAAAGGCTACGATAAGCATTCATAGAGAAGGTCAAACCAGTATTATATGGAGAGTGAAATGGTTCATTATTAACTGCTGCCCTTCAAATACTTAGCTCTAAGTTTGCTCATTTAACAGCAGTGCTGTTTCAACAAGAGATGTACTTTTAGTTTAAAGATTGATACATTTGTTTTACATTAAAATGAAATATAAAGTTTTGTTTCTAATAGTTAAAGTAAGCCATTGCATTCTGAAGATTATATTAAAATGTGTTGAATGCTCACATTTGGCACAATTTTCACTTTCTGTTTCTTTTAAGCCCAAAAGTAGAAACTAAAAATTGCTGCATTCAACTTACTCAGATCTAAAAAAAACAAAAAAAAACATAACGATTAAAATAAAAAATGAGCCACAAAACCACCCGAGTAAATGAGCAGCAATACTGGAGTTTTTGAGGATTTGAGACTGAAGACAAAGTCACAAATTTCAAATAAGGAACGATGACAACTCCAGAAAAAAGCAAGGAATGATTCTGAATAATTACCATGTGGCAGGTGGGCTGGTTTGCATACTGTATTACCCCCTTGTTTCTTATGGTTCCCTATGTCCAAAGACATGTGATTTGGTGAACCATTGTACATGTGTGTGTCCTGTCATGGGCTGGACCTCCTTCCAGGGTGTTCCCTGTCCCTAGTTAAATGGACTGGCTGATGTTTTCTTAGTAATTTCACTCTGCTGTAGCCTGTACCCAATTAGATGGACTACTTGGTGTTGCACTCTGCTCTGGTACCCTTTGGATGATCCCTAATTAATCCCTGTGGTTCTCCCTTTTTACCTCCCTTAAAAATAAACATAAAAGCTGGCCGGTGTTATTGTTCGACACCTAACCCCATCTCTCCGGGACATGTTTACTTACCCAGGAAAACAAGCTGGTCTTATATGGGTGACTAAATGCTGTACAGTAGAACCTTGAAACTCCAACGCCTCTTAACTCGACCAAATGGGACATCGAACAGGTTTGCCGATTTCTTTCGACTTGGACCTCGACTGGAACCTTGAAAGCCGAACGTTCCTGCTAAAAGTTGTATGGATGGAAACGCGTCTCCCTTTCCAAACAACAACCCCTCCATCCCTCCTCCTCTCCACCTGCCACTTCCAGTATGCCATCAGCTCACCTCAGTACAGGTAAAGTGCTCAGAAATCGCCTTTTCATGTGTGTATTAGTTTTACATTGATTGTTAATGCATCTTATCATTAGTTAGGTAGGTAGATAGGTTTAAATAGGCAATCATTTGGGGGGGCTGGAACAAATTAAATTCATTTACATTATTTCTGATGGGGAAATTTGACTTGGACCTTGACCAAATCACAACTCAACCAGCCTTCTGAAATGAATTAGGTTTGTGTTCCAAGGTACCACTGTACTGTTATTGCATCATGTTTTTCTAAGAACTGGCCCTGGCATTACCAGAACCAGGATGAATGTTACAGTGTATGCAGGATCAACCATTAAAAGAGGGTTTGGATTTTTCTATTGTAAGGTAAACACATTTTAAACACAGACGTTGTGTTCCTATCCATTACATTGATTTTTAGGGCCCACATGTTAATTATCCTTTAATGTTCGCTCCATTTAAATATGCTTCGATTTTATATGCTGTTCATCTTAAAATTAGTGATGTGTAAAATTATTAAAAATGAGCAGACTGTTAGGGACTGGAAATTCTTGCTCCTTTTTATATATGAATTTATAAGTATTAATAATTATTTCAGCTTTGTTGCCTAAGATGAAGAGCGTCCACATGTTTGCGTATCTCCCCAGAAGCATAATCAGATTTGGGCCATATGTGAGCACTGGTCCGTACGGCTTGGTCTGCGACGGAATCCTCGGGTCTGGCTCTGTGCAGCTGTGCAGCCAATGGTGCATTAAGGAAAATAATATGAGAGGGTCCCTCAGACTGGTGGCTGGCACTGCGCTGGGGGCACTGGGCTGGGGGCACTGGGCTGGGGGAACATGGCGAGCTCAGGGTGCCATGCTGACGGGGCCTTGCCCAGTGTACCTGCATGTCCTGAATGCAATATCAGGACCTGGACCAGAATAAGCAGGGAGAAGCTGAATGGTTGGGCAGACGGACGGACGGACAGACAGATGGATGGATGGATGGATGGAGGGGCAGACAAGCTTCTCTGTGGGCCCTAGGCTGACAAAGGTAGGGGCCATTGAGCTCTTTGGAGACAAAAGAGAAACAAGAGGGAATTAAAATTGATGGAACATGAATAATATGCTAATCAAAGTAGGGGGCAGGGGAGGGGCACCAGCAGTAAACCTTGCCTAGAGCGCCCTCTGCTGGTGGGGTTTTGACTTAGCAAACCGGCTGACAGAGGGAGGGGCACCAGCAGTAAAACTAACCAATCAGGGCGGGGGCAGGAGTACTGTTTGTAAGAGAGGAGGGGGGTATGACATCGGAGGATTGATCTGCCAAATTTAAGATGTATTATTTACAGATGATAATATTTTAATGAAAATTGTTATATATTAATGAGTTGGAGTTTGATGTGTTTTGTTAAAAAAAAAAGATCAGCAGAGGGCGCTAAAGTGCAGGGCCCAGGGTTGTTCACCCCCCAACCCCCACCACCCCCCCAAATTTCACCCCTGGATAGGAAATTTAGGAAAGGTGCTATATTGTAAACATTTTATTCACTGTTTTAAACTTTTCATAATAGTGGACTCTGTCTGGGGGTGGCATGGTGGTGCAGTGGTTAGCACTGTTGCCTTACACCTCTGGGACCCGGGTTCAGGTCTCTACCTGTGTGGAGTTTGCATGTTCTCCCTGTGTTGTTATGGGGTTTACTCCAGTTTCAGTACTTGGTTTAATTGGAGTTACTAAATTGTGAGTGAATGGTGTGTGAGTGTGCCCTGTGATGGGCTGGCCCCCTGTCCTGGGTTGTTCCCTGCCTCATGTCCATAGCTTCCAGGATAGGCTCCAGACCCCACCCATGACCCATAAGCAGGTTGGAAAATGGATGGATGGATTCTGTCTGCTGAAAATGACACATTTATTTACATTTTTTTACAAAATTATACATGTAAATATATGCATTAACTTTTGTAATCAATGTTCATACATAATTTAGTATTGTTGGATGATGTAATGGCCCACAATTTAAGTTTAAAAAAACAAACATTTGGATAAACTCTGGATAAATCCACTGCATGTACGTTTTTAAAAGGGAAGCTGTTCAAAAGCACAGAAATACGCATCTAGATACGATAATATAATCTCATGGTTAGGTAGATAGGTCTGCATTTTATAACCAATATAATAACATCCCACTCCACATTTCCCTTTAACGTATTAAAAGGTGCTCTTGTTGTGTGAATCTCCAATTTACTCACTAGAGGGCAGCAGTCAGTCAGATATCAGAGGTGATGATGCTTTAAATTAGGGTAATTCAAACCAGTTTAGTTCTGAAGTAGTAACAATACTTTAAAGATAATGGTTACGGCGCTAATCGCTAACATTTTTACCCAACAGCTTATGTCTGAACTCTCTCATCATGTGACCCATGGAGGTTTTGACTGTAGCAATGAAATGGCCGCTGTGCAGCTAGCTCGCCTTATAAACCCTTCTGCCTTGTATTTAAGTGAGGAGGAAGGTGAGCACAGGGGAGCGAGCGGCTTGTCTGCTCGTCTCCAACGCCCTGCGTCCTCCCGCAGCATTTCAGACACCATGGATGGGCCTCCTTGGCCACTCAGCAGTGGTGGCAGTTGGGTACAACTGCGTTCCCTTGCTCCCCCTTTTAAAGTGCACTAAAAAATGTAGTCTGTGAGGATAAAGTCAGCTGGGCGTGGCTGCTGGCTTAATGCAGGCCTGCGCTTCCAGTTCATCAGGCCTGTCTTCGCAGGCTTTGTGTGTCTCTCCGCTCACACGCAGTTGTCCGGCTCGCAGGCCTTGCTCTCCTCCAGGGAGGGACACTCGGCCCCGTTGTTGGCTGGGTGCATGTGGACGTAGCGGGTCCTGTGACGCACCCCCGGCTCCCCACAGGCACCCTTACACAGGCCCCAGGGGGACCAGGCGGACACCTCGCAGTCCAAAGGAGTATCTGGGAAAAAAAAGGATCCGGCCTCAGGCTTAGGGAGACTCATGGGGCTCAGGCAGGCAAGACGGCAGTCATCACATCTGCATGTCTGATGCACATAATGGGGGCAGCCAGACTTGCTAAGGAAGTGATTCAAGCTTTCTTAGAATTACCCTGTGGCTACAGGTTTGGACGCAATTAAAGACCACACTGAACACATTTCTTCCTCAGTTTAAGCAGACTGTTAGTCGGTACGCTTTTTGCAGTAGACCTCAATGTGTGGTGGTCTCTGAAAAAATCTCAATCCCCTGTATAGTTTCCTGCATTTTGGAGCGCTCAGTAACATCAGCTAAACCTCCCAGCTAGCGGAATCCAGTGCTGTGCAATGCAGCACTGAGGTGACACAGGAACTGAGACGGATTTTCTCGCCCCACCTGCCGCCGTCGGATTTCAGGGGTAGCAGTTTTCTTCTCCTTTGCCTAAGTGCCGTCAAGAGGCTCTGCCAAAGCCCAGGATGACGCAGTGAGACTCTGCTGGGCTTCAGGTAAAGAGCTCTTAGCAAGAGACGAGCAGTTCTGAGCGAATCGTCAGCTCCGAGCTCCTGCCTTGAAGGCCTACCGGCGCGTTTGAAGCAGGACCCACATCCTATCTGGGCTGTCCCCAAGTGGGAAGCAGTGCCCTCACTGTGACAGTGCTAATATCTATCCCAGATTAGCTCCTCTGAGGGCAAGGGGGAAGACACTGAGACAGAACATGGAAATAAGAGCAGGCCTGCCTTTTCCATCATTACTGACATGGACAGTGTGGCGCTGAGTGAT